TCGTGATTATAGTAAATGCAGATAGTGCAGGTAATGATATTTATTTCTTAAATTGGCTTTAAACTGTAGCTTTAATATATTTATATGTATGCTTTTTAGGAAGTCGAACTATTGATTTTGAAATTGTGATATCTTGATTACTTGTAATTAAACAGCTTATTTTTTGTGTATCGGTATTTAGATTATTAAATCAAGTAAAAGGAATTTATTAAATTGGAAGCATCCTATTTATTATTGTCATGTTGTAATAGTTCAGTAATTGTTACATATTTTCATGTATGTACGTAATTAAAGAGGAAAAATATAAAACCAATTTCGCCTATAAGTAGAAGTTGGCCTAATTTAAGTTAGGGTTGGTCTAATTTATAATTAGTGCTGGCTAGATTATTGGCGAAATGATGGTGTTCTACGTATTACGTATAAATTTACTACTATGCATTGATATAAATTTTGTTAAGCAGATATTGATTGTTGTTGGTAGTAGCTTGTATTTTATAAAATTTTTTAAATAAAATATATATATGAATTAATCTAGATATTAAATGCTCCGGACCTCAACAGATCCTTTCCTACTTTATAAAATCGAGGATATCTGATATATAGCAGTGGTAGTAACGTCACTCTGGTTATACCGACATCTGGATAACGGCATCATAGTAAAAATCTTTCTATACCGACATTTTTTTCAAAAATTTTAATATAAAATGTCGGTATAACTCACTATATCGACATTTTGAATTTTTTTACTAATGCCTCAAAAATGTCGATATAACCAGAGTGACGTGTAATAACCTATAAAAAAATTATTGTCACGGCTGAAGCCTGAAATTTTAATTATTTTAATGTGAAACTTTTTAAAAATTATTGGGGTGCGTGTTTTTAGCTTTTTTTCAATAGCTATGTTAGGTTTAGGGATAGTTTTTATAATAAAAGAGTATATGTGAATTTTTGTAGGATTTATATCAGCCGTGACTATTATTATTTTTTTAAAGATCAATTTTTCTCACCGCTAATGAAAATAATGTATTATCCATTACATCGAGCTTGGATATATCTTCAAAAAAGGAAAAGCGACGAAATTGATTACTGATGAAAATTAACACCGGATTTTCATTTTTTTTTTTTTGTATCGGTTTTTCGTGTTTCGTTGTTTTTCGGTTCTTCTGTCGTTTTTTCATTTTCGAAGTTATATCTTCTTTAGGCCGTTCGAAGTTGATTCTTCTGCTAACATCATCCCCCCTCCCTCCTCTGAAGTCTCCCCCCGATAAACGAACAACCAATCAAAACGCTGGATAACTTTCGCCAATTACTTGATTTACGTCGACCAATGAAATTGGCCCATTTTTATATGTTCGTCTCATTTTACCCCCCTCCCTCTCCCAAGAGTAATAAAGGTGATGTTAACCGAAAAATTAACTTCGAACGGCCTTAGTAGATAATTGAATTAAAGTAAAGCTATTTGATAAAATACGAAATTATTTTAAATAACAAGTTATGTTGAATATGACAATAAAAGTATCAGTTACGCAGCGACGCGAGATCACATGACTGGAAAACAACCTGCTCAAAGCTAAGAACCAATCCACGACCAGTCCTCATGAAAAAGAAATGCTCGGTTGGGCTCTTTCCAATCAATGAGATATGTCTCTACGTGATGGTTGAGACAAGTGGAGAGAATCTCCGAAACTAAGTACCTCAAAGTATTTGTGGGTTTTTCGTTTAAAATTTAGTCGCTTATTTAATATATAGTCATTTTTCTATGATAGATTAGTCTTCTGCATTAATTACATTCTCATTGCTTAAATTATAAATAATTATAAACGATTATCTCACGTAAAATATTATTTTTTAAAGGCTTTAATTATCGCTGTTTTCGAAATGGTTGAAATGACCAACAAAAAATTTTTTTTGTGAATATCACGAATACTCGAATAATAATTGATTACATTGGCATTGATCAAAAATCGAGTATTCGTGACATTCACAAAAAAATTTTTGTTAATTATTTTCAACCATTTCGAAAACAGCGGTAATTAAAAATTTTTTAAATTTTTAGACTTTAAAAATATCAACGTATTTTGTATTGGTAGTAATCTGCCCAACAATTAAAATACTCGTTAAACGTCTTTAATGAAAGTTTTTTTTCAGTTTAGAAAAATTTCAATTTACGAAAATAACTTAATAACTGGAATATCAAATCTTTATTAGTACTCAGGAATTATGATATTCAAAAATTTTGAACTTTATATCGACAACTATTATTCTACCTCTTCGAAATATATGTAAAAGAAAAAAAAAAATAATAAAACTACATAGTATCCATCAAAATAACAAAAAATAACAGGCAATTAAAAAAAGAAATTATACATAACAAATAAAAAATTTAGCAAGAATAATCTAATATATAAACAAATATCAAGTTAATCTTAAAAAATTCTTTAACAAAAATAGTCTACAGATAAAAATAGAGTAAAAGAAAATAACAATTTACGATTATCCTATTCATCCTCTAACATGTCTTCTGCAGCCGCAATCAAGCCTTTCAATTCTCCTCGTTCATGAAGAATTGAAATAAATTCGCGTATAAATGGACCATAATCAAATGTTCGTCTTTCTCTCTCAACCTAAAAGAAAATACAAAAGTTAAAATTAAACTAACTATAAAACTAACTATAAAACTAACTATAAAATTAACTATAAAACTACGTTTGATTAAGAATTTACCGTTTTCAGCTTATTTTCTCTATCAATAGCTTCCATCAAAAATTTAATTTCATCTATCATCTTGGCTCTTAATTGTTCAATCATTTCGATATCATCATGATACGCAGTCAAAGTTGAAAAATCAATCACATAATTCCCACGCTTTTTAACCTTTTCTTCGTCATCATCAGTAAAAGGAAAATCGACCTAAAAAAGATGAAAAAAAAGATAATATTATAATAATTAATTAATATCAATAAAAATTTACCAATAATTACTAATAAATAAATAATAAACTTGCATCTTCGGTATTGATCTCTCTCCAAGTGTTACTAAGCTCATCTAGCCTATTCTCAGCAAGTTTTTTAATGTACATACAATCTTTAACCCTATCTTGGTGAATGCCTATTTGGTCTTTAGTTATAGCTAGAAGAACGTATTCTACTTGTTCTGCATGAAATCTGTAAAATAAAAATAGTCACAAAACTATTTATATTATAAATTTTTTTCAATTATAATAACCACTTACCCGTCAATACGTTCATGGATAACACCACGAGCAGCATCATACCATTGTTTTTCATTAGAATATTTGCCTAATATGAAACAAATTACATAGTCGTCAAAAAAAAAGTCATGATTAAATTCAATAATATTTGGTAAGGCATACCTAAGCTAACAGGATGCGGATATAATCCATCCAATTGCCAAACTTCACCATCAATAGGAACATAAGCGATATAATGATAAACTTCACCACCACCTTCATCTTCAGAACCTCCATTCTTGCTCGGTTCTTCAACTATTAATGAATCTTCCGGATGTCTATTATAAAAACAACAACACATAAAGATGCTGTAACTCATTTAAATATTGACAAATATTACATTTTTATTACTAACCTGGCCATTGAATTATGAATTTGACGTAAAGACGGATGATTAGTTATAGCAAAACCTCTAGTCTAAGCATATAAAATAAATATTTGAGAGCGAAATTTAATATTTAAAATCAATTTGAAAAAATAATAAAAAATGTATACATATATAGTTTTTAACAAATGAAATATACAGCTGGTGGAAGATCCCAAGTAAATTCTTTAAATTCTTTTAATTCTTGATCTATTTCCAATTGTGGACAATTCAAGACGATATTCAACACAGCAAGAGTAGCGCAAGCATTTTCTACTACCTAAAAATTTATAATAAAATTAAATAATTGTTTAAATAAATAAATAAATAAATATTGATTGAAAATACTACCTGATTGGCAAAATAGACGTTCTTGGGATATTCTTCAAGAGGTTCATAATCGGTACCTTTGTGTAAACCTTTAACATCTCCTGTTACATCACCTATCATCTTAAAAAGAAAAACCAAACCGTAGATTTCTCTAAAATAAAAGAATTTTATTAAAACAACAATCGAAAACAGATTATATGTATATTTTTCATTAATATTAAATTACCCGAGGTCATCAAAGTTATCTTGTTGGTCAAGAACAAATACTTCAGTTGCTTTAGCACCTTTAACACCCAAATCATACATCAAAGCTGTAAAAAGAGCTTCGGAAGCGAATAAAAAAAATACATTATATTACAATCCATTTAAAAAAAATATCAATAAATAAGCAATTTTTTTAGCAATTAAAAGATAAATTACAAGGTTCCGACTGTAATTTAACCCATGGACCTTCACAACGTTCTTTATGACTAAGTAAAAGAGAAGACATATTGATAATTTGATAATTTCGGCAGTTTTTTTCCGATTCAATTTAATAAATTACGTAACAATGGAGTAAATGTTCCAATTATTAACGAATTTAAACGCGTTTTCAATGAGAACAAATAAGAGAACAAATAAGAGTTTAGATTAAGTAAATCACACCAAATCTCCACAAACCGCGAACTTTTATACAAAAATACATAAGTCCAATTTTAGCAAATTGCATGACCTTACCGATACCACGGGAACTGCAATAAAAATCATATTAAAATTCTATTACATTTACGACCACATATTATTAATTGTTTATAAAAACTGAGTTATTTTCTAAGTTTATTAAACTTTAAATTGGACATTGGTTTGGTTTTTAGAATGATTCTAACTGTGTCACAAAAAATTGACAATCACATCCGGCATATTTAACGTTAGATTTTTATTTATATTGATATATAACAGGATTGGACTCAACAAAGGCTAGAACGGGCCAATTAACATCCCAGCGAATCGTTCAGTTACGGATTTGTGGATGAATTAGAGGATAATATCGATATAATGGACTTAAAATTTTTTTTCAAGATTGACTTTTTTCTAGCGCTAGGGACTTCTTTAAAAGTTTTAACTGGTTATAGATAACGATCATTATCAGTTTCACGTTTTGTCACAATCGCAGTAATGACAAAAAAAAATAAGGCTACTATTTAAACTAATAAAGATCAAAGTTTCGTTGATAATGTGGTTACGTAATCACATGAATATCTTCCTATAGCTTTGTATTTTGGTTTAGCAGACACATGGACGTAAAATTTTCGTAATGATTGTTTCAATTTATTAGAGATCTTGTAGGCGGTCGGATACTAAAGTAAATATTTATTTGGTATGTACGTACGTACGTACAATACGTTAAATACGTACTGTGTTGCTTTTAAACTTATTATCGCTCTTTTTGAATCTGACCAATCTAAATATGTAGAATAAGACCGAATACATATATGTATATATGTATGTATATAAAATAAGGCAAATGCAGATGTTTATTAATTATAAACCCGAGATTTTTAACTTAATCCGGTTCCAAACTCATCCGATATGGCATCAACTCGGTTTCGATTGCGCAAAGAATTTCTTAATTCAACCAGGAATCAATTGCTTTTCGACAATGAGATCGAAAGTGGAAGAGGGTATAAAGCAATTATTGTCACTAAAATGTATTTTTAAATATAAGATGTGTTTGTAAAGACAGTGCAAGTTAGATTAATGGTTAGGTAAGTCATATTATATGGTAAAACTATTCATGAAATATTTTGTTAAATCAGTTATTTAAATTTTGAAGTTTTTTAAACCATGCAATTTGATTGTTCAATAACAAATAGATTTACTGTAAAATATTGTAAATTTTATTATATATATAGTTAGGCCACGCAAATTTAATTTATTGGTTCTCGTAACATGAAACTTTTTAAATAGACCCGGCCGGCTAGTTTTGTTTTTTAAATTTTATATATAACAATTTATAAAATTTTTTTACAGCTGTTTTCATAAATTCTGAAATAACTGAAAAGATTGCGATTTCCGAAGAGTTAGATGATTCGTACGATGAATCCGAAAGGTCTCGAGAAACAAGCAAATTTTTTCAAGTGTCCTACGTACTAATTTTCAAATCAGCTGTAATCATATAATTTGCAAAGAAAATATTATTTAAGTAATCAGCTAATCAAAATTGTATCCTGATTTATCTTTCTTGTAGTTTTTATAAATATTTTTACTGTTTTCCTTTTATTTTTATTACATCGCAATCTACTGTAGTAAGGTACCTCAATAGATCAAAACCTTGATATATCAAACCAAACACTCCAGCTCTGGAGCTTCGTTATATCAAAGTTTTACTGTATTTTTTTCTTATCATTTCTTATATTTTTTGTTTTTTTTTTATAAACCTAGTTGTTTAGTTTTTAAAAATATAAATTTAAAATTTTGGCTAGATAAAATTGTATATAAGTATTTTTTTTCAAAATTTTAAGTGTTTTTTTAAAACATATAAATCATATTTAGAAATAAAATTTAAGTTTGATTTCTTATAATAAATAAAGAATTTTTTTTAATAGCATTAGTTTTTTTTAAACAGAAGGCTTTTAGTTAAAATCTACTTTTTTATAAGTATTTTTTTTAATAATATAAAAACTTTTTAGTTCAGATTATATTTTATATTTAATTAGATAATAAATCTAAAAAACAATTCTATGTTTAATATTGCTTCAAAAAATTTTTTGCAATTTAGTTAATTAAAAAATTATTGCAATTATTCTATAGCATTAAACTATTTTCGCTCGATTAGCTTTCTATAAAAAAAAAAACATTTTACAATAAGGTCAGACCAAATTAATTCTTAGTACAGTATTAACCAATGAAATTGCAGTACAGCTTTTTATATATTTTTTTTATATTTTTTATAGCTAATATATATGTTGTGCCTCAAACTAACGCTTGCCTCTGACACACCTCCGATTCGGATCGTCAGGTGAGGTGCATCTATCATCTAAACTGCAATCTGACGAAAGTAAGAGAGTAAAATAAATTGAATAAAAACTTTTTGACTTGGGCGCTTTTTTTCTTCTTGCTTTCTATAACTTTGAATCATTTTGCCGTCGTCTTACTTCCAGTAGCATTTTTTTACATTAAGCCTCTTCAGCACCTCTTTAAATTTAAATTTCTTTGCTCGAATTTTCGTGGCACATTCTATTTCCAATTAATATGTACTTTTTTTTTCATACGTACAATTTTTTTTTTTTTTGCCTAAATTTTCACTGCATACTCTTCCTGTTTAAGTCTTCTCAGCACGTTTAATTTCAATAATACTTTTATTCTATACATATTTTTT